CGGTTACTCTTACCTCTTCGAACAAATACGATTGGAAATCAATGGGATAGAAGTAGATAGCACAAATGTTCTTGGAATCACTAGCTCGTTGAAAGGTTACTTATCCGGTACGCCAGATAACTACAATTGTTATGAAAATGCTGGCTGGAATTTTAAAAACGCAACGCAATCGGAAAATGACAAAGGTGAATTTAGTGCTTGCATTCCATTGAAATATTGGTTAGGATTGTTTGAAGACTATAAAAGAATATTAGTGAATTCTAGATTGGAATTAATATTAACCCGAAGTCATAGTGATTTAAATGCTTTACAAGTTAAGAGTGGTGCAACTGCCACTGAAGGTAAAGTCACCTTAAATAAAATAGTCTGGAAGGTCATACATATAACGGTTGACGACGAAGAAAGGTTAATATTATTGAAACTTATAGAAAAAGAAAAAAGTCTATTTATCCCTTTTAGATCTTTTGAAACTTTTGAATATCCTGAACTCGGAACCACTAAAAAAGTTGTATGGAATTTGAAAACTGCTTCAAAATTAGAAAAACCACGATTTATCATAATTGGATTAAAAATTAGCTAACAAAAGATTGTAGTATTTGATATTTAATATATTTAATATTTGACCATTGTAATTTAACAAACGTTAAAGTATTTCTGAACTCTATAGCTTATCCATATGATAATCTGAATTTAGATTTTACTAAAAATAATTCCACCTTATTATATTGTGTGATTCTTTTATCAAACAACACTCATTATTTCAAAAAGTGTAAATTAGTATAACTCATAAACTACTCAACCCAAATTCGGTTTTCATGTATCAAAATACTAAGAAAAAATATACTGCTTTGGAATATAAAATTAAAACCCTATGTTGTCATTTAAAAAAGTAAAAAACATAAAAAATTATAAGAATAAAAAATATTTAAAAGGTTCCCTGTACCCCTTGCCTACATATACGATATCTCGGTTCTCACGGATGTGTTTGTGTGATCACTATTTCAGCCTACGCATTTACGACTGAACGCATAACCAAAATATGATTACTAATTTATTAAATTACTACATTACTAGATAATTAAAATAATCATTTTACTCTTTTCCGTTTGAACTTCGCAGTGTGCACTCAGTGCTTTCCCTGTAAAATGTTACAACTGCCTATTTCTGAATCCTAATTTAATATAGTATATTATAATGATAAGTAACTGGCTTACTATAAATGTATCACTGATTGAATGTATTACTAATTTATGATTAGTCATTTTACTTTTTAATATTTTAATTTCATCGTATGCGTCCAGTATTTCTGTCAAATATGACAACCGCCTATTTTGACCCTATTATCCTGAGTTATTCAGTGAGCCTGTCTCCATAAGTTTGAAGGACCCATTTCCATTATTAATGCCCGACTATGCCGGTCTACCGTATATTATAATAATTATGCACCTGTGGAATTTGGTTTTATTGTTACGTAGTAACTTGCTTACTACAACATCGTTTCAAGAATCGTACTTTGAAAAAAGTATTCGTAACCCGATATTGAGTCCTTCTACTTTTCTGACAAACGCTCCAATTATAGTTATCGATACTTCGAAACAGAACGATTCAGCCACAGCCTCAGCAGTATATGTTCAATTGGAAATTGAAGCTTCAGATTCGCTTACAGGTGTAACTGCTTATTGTTTATTAATTCATGATCGTATTGTAGAATATGTACCTTTTACTAGAGAAGTAAGAAAACTTGTATAAATAATTGTTTAGAATTAATATATAATTGTATTTGTAAATAAAATAATATTTAATAAATAATATATATTTTATCAAATTGTTGTGTTACACGGTGGAGCATGTAGAAATGCCCAGCTTGAAGTGAAGAAATCTCCCTGTAAAAAAGGTGCTCAGAACACACAAATATATACTACTGATAATAATAGTTTTTTGACGACTGAGTACATACTGCGAAAAAAAAATTAAAAATATTCACATAATTTTTAAAATACATGAAGGCTATTATTTCAAATGGTATTCGGTTGCGGTAATGGTATGTGGATTCAATTTTTTAGTTTTTTTCGATAAAAGTCAATACAATTTTATTCATTGGGTGAAAAAGCTTGAAAATGTAATACAAAATTTATCATAAGTTTGTATATACAAGTATTATACTCTAATCGAAAAAAAAAATATCAACCGGAATGTAAAATTACATTTTTATGAGCGTTTGAAGTTGAAAATTTGACCACATAGTCACTCGATTTCTCATGTTGCGATTTTCTTAATTTGTTATTATTCAAAAAAAATAACCGTAGATACTTTAAATGCACTTTCCCCCCCTTTTTTTTTACAGACTCGACATAATAAATTCAAACAATATAACATTTTTTACTTACTTTTCCTTTTGGATTTAATCGTATTGGAGAAATAGTAGAATCTTCTTTTTCGGTTTGTCCACTCATTGTAAAAAATAATAAGCTGTAGAAATTGTTACGAATCTAGTACGTCGTGCACAATGAACACATTTTCTATAATGAACAGTGAACGTTATTATTTGAAATTGAACGGAAAGGCGCGCACAAGCTAACCACCTGCGTCGGGTCAGTCGGGCCAGGTCGGTACAGTACGTAAACAGCTGCAGAATATTGGGGGTGACTTGACCGCCGGCGACGAAAACTGGTCGCCGCCGCAGGCGTTTCTTATTTTGAACAGAGTATATATTGAGATAGAACATTTGGCAGAAATAAGATATCTATGGCACCACGTATGCTTGCACTTAATGATAATTTCCCTACTTTTAAAAGAATGAATGATTTCTAATAAATGTAAATCATAAAATAAATATAAGTAATATAAACTATAATACTATACAATACTATTTTAATATAATAGTATTGTAGAGTAATTATATATAAATTTAAATAATTGATTTAAGAAACATAAAGAACATTGTTACCAATTCTTCTCTACAAGTTAACATATCAGGTGAACTTTGATTTATCAAGAATTCCATTGTTTCAAGATTTTCCATAGGTTAGGTTAGGTAAATGGTGATGGCAACTTTGGTGCGGGCATTGCCAATGCTCGTACTCGACCGGACTAACTGCTGCTATTATGGTGTCCAACTTTTTACAGTTATTTTGAAGAGCAGAACTTAGTCTAGCATTTACTCCATTAATCATAAGCAGATGAGTCATAATCTTTTCATCTCTTTTTTTTTTGCTTATTCGCCTGCCTTTCTATACACTTAAGTACTTCATCCAATTTTCAGCTACAGAAATCTAATATACAATTAAAATTACACATAATAAAATGTAAATATTAATTGAATAATTGCAAGTATAATTTTGGTTTTATCATTACCTTAAGTTGACTGATATGTAAAAGCATCACACACTTTTTTTGTTAAGTTACTCTCATTTGTATCACAATCTTCTATTTCATTATCATACGACATATCATCGTCATTAGGTGATTCTTCTATTTGGATTCCAGGTGGAGGTGTAGTATCCAATAAATTAATATTTTTGGATGTGAATGCTGCAGGTATGGGCATGTTCATGATTTTCTTTATTTATTCATCGTTATCATCAATAGAAAATTTATAATTTCCATCAGTAGAACTTAAAAATGCTGATAAGAAAATATTATTCTCGTTTGTTTTTTCATTGCTGCAGGTTTTATCAGCTTCTGTATTGGTTTTAAGATCCTCGTCGGATAAAATTGTAGAAGTTGCATTGTTAACTGGTGTAGATGTTAACTCTTTTAAAATAAAACATTAAAATAAAATATGAATAGTAAAAATTTAAAACTTAATGTTAATTTATAAATACTAATAAATAATCATTATAGGTACCAATTTCACCAAGTTCATCATTCATTTGTTTCATTTTAACTAAAGGTGGACTAGGCAATTTATGTGGAATTTTAACATTTGTTGGCACTTTATCTACACTCATTTTAAGTTTCTTATTAATAAATCTTGAATTTGTATTTGGACTTTTTTCACTCTCATTGTCACTGTCATCATTATCATCAGGGCCCTTTAAAGCTTTAAGAACTCTTCTGGCTTGCATTTCATCATCTGTAAACATTTTAATTTGCCAGATACAAAAAAAAAAGTTTTAAAAATAATCTATCACTTACCAAAAGGACCAGCAATTATTTTTATTTCATAGTACGAACCATCACATTCATTTAGATCCATGCAGTTTATAATCATTTTAAAATTTGAGTAGAGTTAAATTTTGGATTTCTTTTACTATTTTTAGTATTGGGAAACCAACAAGTGCCATAATTTAAACGTGTTTTGTTGATATGAATCCACTTGCTTATCACATGCTGAATTTCATGTGTCTCAAGAAATTCAACAACAGACCAAACCCTATACACATATAATAATTATAGTGCGGCCAGCGAAACTAGGCGGGTGACCGTCGCGCGCCTGGTGGTAAATTTCCGTCAGTGTTTCCAAGACTACATTCCCGCGTAAAATAATTCTAAAAGCTTCGGAATTGTAATAAAAACTAAACATACGATATTTCTGTACGTAAAGCTTATTATTTATTAATTATCACATTCTCTAACAAGTAAATAATATAATAGTGTATGATTTCTTTTACTTTATTATCATTATTAAATAATATTGTACAGCTGTGTGCGTTTTGGTCGTCGTCTGACCGACCAACACGCACACACTATTTTATATCTTATCTTGTTAATATTATAATAACGACCCGTCGACGGTTAATCGTTGTCGAGGAGGCCTACAGTTGTTACCCATCCGCGTTTCGGATAACTCGTATGTAATGTTGAATTTTAATATACACTGCCTTAATAAACTTATTTATAATTTCGTGTAAATTATTCTTTTGGCCATCACATTATTATTTTTTTAACGCCTACAGTTTTCAGAAGTGGGATCGTATGAATGAGTGGTTGATGTACGAATGCCTGTGTTAACACGGAATGCGAGTAAACATTGTGCAGTTATTAATGAAGGTACCAAAATGAACGAGACGAATGACAAAAATAAATCGAATGTAAAGAATAATCCGGAAGTAGTTAATCCACAACAAGGAGACGAGCAAACGAGTAAAACGGAAGGAATGAATAAAAACCATGAATCTACGTCATCTCCGTCAGCGTCGCCAGGTTTTCCCGTGAATCCGGTAGATGCAAACACCTTGGTCGACACATTCGTAAGACAAAATAGTATGTTGATGGAATTGTTGAAAGTTCAACAAAACGGCAATCGACCAACGAATGACATAACGATTGCTCCTGACCTGAACAAGTCTATTCCGACATTCAATGGTCTGGGTACGGGTTCGCAAGCTCTCGATTGGATTCAAACTGTAAACGGCGTCGCGAATTTACATCGTTGGCCGGATAATTTCAAACTCCAATCTGTGCGGGCCAATTTAGAAGGTGCGGCTCGACACTGGTTTGCGTCCCGAGAGATAGAACATTGGTCAGATTTTGAAAGACAATTTCATAAAACTTTTGTCGGCGTAGTTATGATGGGCGACCGTTGGAAACAAATGTCGCGGCGCGTTCAGTTACGCAACGAGAACGTACGTGAGTACTACCACGAAAAGGTATATTTATGTCGACAAATTGGTATGTCATTTTACGATAGTAAAATTCAAATACTAGAAGGTTTATACTCGAAAGAGTTGAGTATGTACTTGCTTGGTCGTAACCACGTGGACGAGGACGATTTATTAAGTGACATGGTAGAATATGAACGACTCGACACGTCCCGTTCTGTACGATTTCGGCAAATATCAAGTACTAAAGAAGCCCTGTTACAAAAATTGGTGACGTCGAATCCAACTAATGCCGTGACAATTAAAAAGGAGGACATGAAAGTGGCCGTAGGAGAAAAGGGTGCAGTACCGCCGCGTGCATATTGTTTCAATTGTGGCTCAAAAACTCATTTGTCACCGCAGTGCCCAAAACCTAAACGTGAAAAGGGAGCGTGTTACGAATGTGGGTCGATGGCACACCAACGAGGATCTTGTCCAGTATTCATGCGAGGTAATGATGACGGAAAAAGGGAAAAGTCGGCCGGATTGATGAGCATCGATGTTGTACGAGACCAGGACTCGCCTGATGAGTGTCCAGCGCCGTACGAGGTACAGTGTCAATTCAACGTTCCAGTAGAAGAGTCAGAGTCTTGCTGCGTCAATGTCAACGCCGTGGTCGACACAGGAAGTCCAATCAGTATAATCAAGAGTGAGTTAGTTCCAAGTATATTATATACCACGCAAACGGTGAGTAAAAAACATTTTTGTGGTATTAACGGCGCGAAGTTGGATATACTCGGTATATTCGAAACGAACGTAATAATTAATAATTTTGAAATGTATTTAAAATTTTATGTTGTGTCTAATTATACTATGAAAGCGAATGCAATTTTGGGAAGGGACTTTTTAAACAAGAAAGGTTTTAAAATTGAATTTAAGAATAGTACGGTAGACATAGTAAAATTAGACACGGGAAATTCGGACGAAACCGATATTAATTTTAAAGAAATATTGTATATCGATTACGATGATTGTACCGATAAAAGTAACGATAATACAGGGTTGAATGTGAATCCCAAATTAAATTCAGAACTGAGGAATGTATTTAGTGAATTATATGACGTCGATTATATATCAAATAAGGAGTTACGTAACGAGGATTTTGATTTTGATATGAAAATAATTCTAAAACACGAATAACCAATTACGTTTCGCCCTAGACGTCTGTCCTACAGTGAACAACGTGATTTACGAGTTATTATTGATGAATTGTTAACTGAAGGTATTATCAGAGAAAGCAATAGCCCGTACAGTAGTCCGATAGTGCTGGTCCGTAAAAAATCAGGTGGTTATAGGTTATGTGTAGATTACAGAGAGCTAAATAAAATCACGATTAAGGATAATTTTCTGACCCCACTAACTGATGATCAGTTAGAGCGATTAAAAAATAAAAAAATATTTACTTCTTTAGATTTAAAAAACGGCTTCTACCATGTACGTATGAATGAAAAATCTGTCCAATATACGTCTTTTGTTACTCCTTTGGGAAAGTACGAGTACTTAAAAATGCCGTTTGGTTTAACTAATTCCCCACGAGTATTTAATCGATTTATTCAACTCATTTTTCGAGAATTAATTAGCCGGGGGGAATTATTGGTATACTTAGACGATTTACTAATAGCCCCAACAAATTTTCCCCAACACATAACAATTTTAAAAGAAGTTTTCGTTTTAGCTGCCAAGTATGGTCTACAATTTCGGTTAGACAAATGTTTTTTTGTTTATTATGAAATTGAATATTTAGGTTACTTAATTAATGAACATGGTGTACGACCGAGCTTGAAACACGTCGACGCCATGCTAAACTACCCCGTACCGAAAAGTTCGAAACAAGTCCGACAATTTCTCGGATTGGCAAGTTATTTCCGACGTTTCATTTCAAATTTTTCAATAATTGCAAAACCTTTATACGATCTTGTGAAAAAGAATGTTGATTTTTCGTTTGGTGAAAAAGAACAAGACGCGTTCGAGTACTTAAATTCGGCACTAACGAAAACACCTGTATTAGCTATTTATTCACCTACAGCCGATACCGAATTGCACTGTGACGCGAGCTCGACCGGTTTTGGTGCGATACTTTTTCAAGGACAAGCTGTTGCCGATAATAAAATGAAACCCGTGTTCTATTTCAGTCAGCGTACGTCGCCTAATGAGTCGAAATTCCATAGCTTTGAACTCGAATGTCTAGTTGTCGTGTATGCAATTAAACGGTTCCACATATATTTATCAGGTATATCATTTAAGGTAATGACAGACTGTGATAGTTTTAGACTGACGTTAAATAAGAAAGATATTAATCCACGCATTTCTAGGTGGGCATTATTCCTACAAAATTATGACTTTGAAATTTTTCATCGATCTAATAAAAACATGCAACATGTTGATGCTTTTAGTCGTTGTCACGCTATATTAATTTTAGAATCAAATACTTTTGAGCAGGTGCTCGCAATCAGACAAAATACTAACGAAAATATTGTCAAAATTAGAGATAAATTACAGAACGGTGATGATAAGTTATACGAACTACGTAATGGTTTAGTTTATCGGAAAGAAAATAAGCATGTTAGGTTTTATGTTCCGGAATCTATGGAAACAAATGTTATACGATCGTGCCACGACGACATGGCCCATGTAGGATTATCGAAAGTAATTGAAAACATTTCACGTATATATTGGTTCCCCGGTATGAAGGCCAAAGTGCGACATTATATCGATAATTGCTTGAAGTGTATTGAATTTTCAATCCCCAGTGGTAAAAAGGAAGGTTTACTTTTTAACATTCCAAAGGAGGACAAACCATTCGTAACCATACACATCGATCATTTGGGTCCGTTAGAAAAAACAGGCTCCAGAAATAAGTATATTTTTGTTGTCATTGACGCATTCTCAAAATTCGTCCGCCTTTATGTGTGTCGTACTACGAAATCTGACGAAGTGATTAAACACTTACGTGATTATTTTCGAACATATTCCAAACCACTTTGAATAATAAGTGATCGGGGTACGTGTTTCACGTCACAAACTTTTTCGGAATTTGTTGAAAGTGAATCGGTAAAGTTGATATTAGTAGCATCGGGCACTCCTAGGGCAAACGGTCAGGTCGAAATCGTAAACAAATCCATCGTACCTATGCTGGCTAAGCTAACAGATTCTATAAATAAATGGGATCGAGTTTTATACAAGGCCGAATTTGCCATTAATAACACGGTACACAGGTCCACGGGACAAAGTCCAAGTATGTTATTATTTGGAATAAATCAAATAGGCGAAGTCAACGATGAAATACGTAGAATATTGGATAACATAGTGTCTGAGGATGTAATTATTGATTTCGTGAGTACGAGGACGGAGGCAGCGAATCGTATTATTAAATCTCAGGAAGCGAATAAGATACGTTATGATGCGAAACATAAACAGGCAACTATTTATAAAGAGAACGATTACGTAATGATAACCAACACGGACGTAACAGTCGGATGTAATAAAAAACTAATCCCAAAATTTCGAGGACCGTACGTTATTAAAAAAGTGTTAGATCGGGATAGATATGTCGTGAGTGACATTGAAGGTTTTCAGGTCACGCAACGCCCGTACGAAGGTATTATAGGACCAGATCGTATGAAAAGATGGGTTAAATAAATCTGATTAGGGAAAATTGTCATTGTATAAACTTGCGTTTTTTTTTATATATATATTTATCTGTACGACATGTATTACTATATAAGGGCTGGCGGTATTTAAAATTTTGATACCGGTATCCGGTATTTGTTTACTACCGGTATTTACGGTATTACCGGTTATACGGTATTTTCGGTAATTACCGAAAATACCGTACCATGGTAATTACCGAAAATACCGTACCACGGTAATTACCGAAAATAACGAGGTGAGGTAAATACCGAAAATACAGTACACGGAATACACACCGTAAATTTATAAGTGTTTCTAAGTTTCCAACCTAAGAAAATTTACCTTTAAGTCTTAAACAATAATAAATAATTACACATGATTTTTAGGTGTTAAAGGTAAATTTTCTTAGGTTGGAAACATAGAAACACTTATAAATTTACCGAGATGCGGTATGTATTCCGTGTACTGTATTTTCGGTAATTACCTCACCTCGTTATTTTCGGTAATTACCGTGGTACGGTATTTTCGGTAATTACCGGGGTAGGGTATTTTCGGTAATGACGGTAATTACCGAATCACGGTATACCGGTATTCTGAAATACCGAAAATACCGGATACCGGTATTTATCGGTATACCGAAAATACCGCCAGCCCTATACTATATATTTGTTATTTTTTTTTTTTTTTTTTGTCTGTATTTGCTATAGTGTCATTATTAATAACTATGTAGTATTGTTCGAGACGAACAAAATATCAGTATGGCCGAACTGTATGATTTCTTTTACTTTATTATCATTATTAAATAATATTGTACAGCTGTGTGTGTTTTGGTCGTCGTCTGACCGACCAACACGCACACACTATTTTATATCTTATCTTGTTAATATTATAATAACGACCCGTCGACGGTTAATCGTTGTCGACGAGGCCTACAGTTGTTACTTGTTACCCATCCGCGTTTCGGATAACTCATATGTAATGTTGAATTTTAATATACACTGCCTTAATAAACTAATTTATAATTTCGTGTAAATTATTCTTTTGGCCATCACATTATTATTTTTTTAACGCCTACAATAGTAAAACATAATATTAATATTTTAATTTTTTACGCAATTATATATGTATGTACATTTAAATACTAATAACTAAGTAATGCAATTTAAAACTACTATAATGATATTTACATAAAAATTATTTTTCAGAATCAAAATAATCTAGTCCTCATCATCTTCATCTTCACTTGAACTGCTTTCGTCCGGATTAATGGTCAATATTATCGGTTCTAATATCTCATCCCTTAGTCTCGCCTTGACATAGTCCTCCTCCTGAATCTTGACGCAATGTTCTCCACATTTTGCCCAATCGTCCGGAGGAACTGCATCGATTTCTTTATGCACAAGTGTCTCGACATCTGCAATTTTGAATGTTGAATTTTTTTCAGCCACTCTGCCTTTAACTTGGGCCCAAATTAGTTCTATTGGATTATACTGACAGTGGTAAGGGGGAAGCCTTACCACTTCATGACCCATTTGGAAAGTTAGTTCATCCAGTTTATATTTTTTTCCGCGTGGCATCGAAAGTTTCACTTTTTCCCGTAACTCGTCAAGTGTTTCTACGGGAGAAAAATCTATATTTTTATCCCGTAACCACCGTTGAACATCTGCTTTTCTACTGTTTGACTTCGGATAGTTCTCGGCCAACGAAGAATGATACGACGCGTTATCCATAACAATGATACTAGGCTCTTCTAAGCTAAGTAACATTTGTGAAAACCAACTTTCAAAAATTGTGGCGTTCATTTGCGAATGGTAATCTTTGTCACCAGAATTACATCTAAAAATAAGTTTTGATTCTTTAATGAATCCGAAGGAAGGAGATCCGGCGTGGCATACGATGAGGCGACTGCCTTTGCCTGTAGGTACTTTTAACCCTTCCGTATTTTCTTCATTTTGCCAAATACGTCCACGAGTATGATTTTGATTGACCCAGGTTTCATATAAGTAGACTACCGGCCGAGTATCACCGTTCCTTCGAAACTCGTTCATTTTTCTAAGAAATTTAACGCGCGCAGCTACAATATCGGGCCGTTCCATCAAGAATTTGCGACCGTCATTACATTTTTTGTACTTAAAATGAAGTTGTTTTAAAATTATTTTCACCGACGATTTTGATCCACTGTAATTTAATTTTTCACGCAGTTCCAATAATATTTTAGCACTTGTTGGAAACTCCCCCTTGTCGTAAAAGCTATGGACAACTCTTCTGACCACTTCATTGTCAAAATCATCTAATTCAGTGACAGTTTTCTCACGACTATACCTTTTTCGTGGTGATTGAAATTTAAGGTCATTAGGACTTACGACGCATAATGATTCATCTTGATTTCCTGTTGTTTTGCTTTCATTACATATCCGTTGTACAGTTCTCAGACTTACAGCACAAGCATTGGCGGTCCTCTCCTGTGATTGTCGAAAATAATCGGCCAATTCCGGCTTGTCTTTGCACTTAGCTAAGTTTTTAAAAAATATATACACGTTGTATTGTGTTTTTCGTTTGGGAATGTATATCGGGTCGAATTGACATTTCGAAAAAATAATTTATACAAACGATTAGTAAAAAAACACACAAAAAAATTAAAATATTAAAACAGCCGTATGAAAAAATCACATTAAATTCAAACGATACCAAACAATACATGCACGAAGGGCAGAGGATCGCAGACTAACACATTATGAAAAAAACTGTTTCTGTACACAATTTGCTTTCAATAAAATAACAATAAGTACAATAAGGTCAATGGAATGCGGTCGCCAGCGCAGATGGCCAGTTTGAATAGAAAAACGCCGCGCTAAACGGTTACCCTCACCCTCACCAGTTTGTAGTACGACATATTATTATGTCTATGGATGTGCCTTATACGATAATAAAATATTTGTGTTGTAAGGTAACACAACATTTTTCATAAAAGAGCTAACACAACTGCACAAGCTATGCAGCTGTTATGCATTTAATAAGCAATACTTTTAGAACCCCTGGTTTGCATGAAAACAGCCACCTGGCGCGCGACGGTCACCCGCCTAGTTTCGCTGGCCGCACTATAGTGAATCTATGCATGTGCCATTGTATTAGTACAATAGTACCTCTATAAGAATTAAAGATATATACTTTCAATTTTAATTTATATAATTTGATTAAAATATGAACCAATTTTACCAGTTTAACAGCCTTGGTAAAACATTTATTTTATTTGAAAATAACAAACACAACAATTATTTAAATAGTTTTATTAAAAATATTTTGAGTGGCAGATACTGAATGACATACAACACCAAAAGATATTATAAATAATGTATAGGTAATAATATTTAAATTATAAACTAAAATTCCCTTAGTTACAAAAAAAAATAAACAATCATCAGCATTTGTAGTTTCTACTAAGTATCATGGGCAAATGGAATAAGAACAAATATATCACCATTTAAAAGTAATCTAACTAATTTATTTACAACCTTTTCTAGTGGCTATGACTGTAAACTACCCAATTGGCTCACCTCATGAATATCCAACAACTGGGATGAACATGGTGTGTTAAGAAAATCTTGTATCTTTTCATAGCATCGTCCTACAACTAATATTTTATTATTATCTGTTTTTGATGTTGCAATATTTTCTAGAAGTACTAGAGAACCATTTTTAATTTTCACACAATTATCTGAATTATATATTAGTATATTGTGGTACATAGGAATCTGTGATAAGAGGGTAAGAGGTCTTTCCATTAATTTGCAATAAGCATTAAGCAATAAGCATTTGTTTGCGTTGATTTATTTTTAAAATGTAGATGATTAATACGGTTTTCAGCAAAACGGTTAGCCAATTGCTGCAAAGTTTTCATGCCAGACCTTATTTTTTTTTTTAATTGTTGCATGAAATTCTCGAAAGGAAAAGCAGAAAAATTTTTCAATGATCCAAATCTTTTTACATCCCCAACTAAGTGGAGAACCGAATGAACATTATGGGACATAAACATTTCACCATATAGACAAACGAATGCGCTAACAAAATGTTTAAGCAACTTTTCAGCATAAATTACATAAGTTTCATTTGTATTGGAAGCTAATAAAATTCTTATAGCAAAAGATAATTCCAAAAAATGTTCATAAACTTCTTTACTGAGAATTTCACTGAAAATCACTACTCCTGTATATAACAGACATTCCCTCAACTCTGTGGCTTTCAATCTGTTTGCATCACGCAAAGGATGCCTACGACTATTTGAATTTGGTTTCCTTTGGAATTCTTATGGTATATATGAACTCAATGAAATTAATCTTTCATCCAACATTGAAATTAAATTTGATGCTAATGACTGATGATGTTGTGAATTCCAGTCCAAAACAATAATGTTTTTTTTCATTAACCCAATACATACAGGGTGCATGTAGTCAAATGTAGTGGATAGAACTACATCAAAACTTCTGATTTCTGATAGTATGGTTACACCAGTATGCAAATGTTGGTCGGAATAAGTAATGAAGTCATCATGAGTTCTTAAAGTAGATTCTAATTCTTAAAAAAAACTCTGTTATTTATCCAGTGACCTACATTTAAACATCTAAGGCATGAATGTTTGCCATTGTGGACTTTTATGTTGAGTACAAATGATTTTGCAGGCGCATCACAGATAAGTCCTTTCAAAATAATTTTCACACACTTTCCATTATAAATAAAACCATTCACAGATAGATCTTTTATTTCGTTGACAAAATCTGTAAGAAATTCATTTGAATCTGAAGGCTTTGTTTTTCCACAGTAAGCACACATAATAAACACTTTTGGTCTTTCATATTCAATATTACTAAAATAACCTGAAATTGGCCATAGCTGATTTACAGGATTATTTGTGATGGGCAATCCATCAATCAAAAAATAAAATAAAGAAGGCAGATTATCATAAGTCCTTATTAAATCCTACAATTCATTTTTGAAGATGGTAAATATCATCT